TCCACAAGTAATTTTTTTTTCAAACATATAATATTCACTCATCAATTTCAAGATTAGATATACACATGCCTATTAAATATAGACATACAAAAGATTACACATACATACTTACACTAAAATCCATTATGATAATTCTTGCTCTTTCATATAATCTTTTTATTTACATGTTTTTATAAGTTCATCTAAATTTTACTTTTTATAAAACATACAAAAGGGATAAAAAAAATATTACAAATGTTCAAAAATAATTAACCAATATTAATTATAGTAATACTTAATAAGTAGTTCAAAACTTACATTTTTATTAATTTTAATTCACTGATTAATGATATAAGTCTTCAAAAATAATGGAGAGGATTCTTATTCTCATATATTACCGTTGACTTTTAATTTTCATCTAACCATACATTTGATATAATTACTTCAGAGAAAAAAAAGTCATAATATTTATATCAGTTCTGTAATGTTGTCCATACATAAACTTTATCCCATTCCTAGGAAATTTATTGCCCGGTGAATTTAATTTAAAGCAGACAAGTAAATGAAAATGAAAGCAAAGGACAGAAATGTTGAATGAATAAAATTTATTAAAAAGGGTAAAAAAAGCTTCTTTGGTATACCCATTCAATGCATAGCTTAGTTGAATTTCTTTATNGATTCTTAATAGAAATGGATGTAGGATATAGAAAGTCACAAATATTAATGAACTGGAGCCCACATTAACTTTATTGATCATAAATCATTAATATAATTAAATTAGTAATAAATGCTATTTTTTAAATATGAACAAATGTACATAAATAAATGAATATAAAATTAAATTAGAATTAAAATTGTTTTTTAAAATGATATTTAGAGTTTATTTTAATAAAATCTATATTGAATTTATCATATTTGTATTATATACAAAAACGTTTACAAAATGTGATAATTAATTTATACATACTTATTCATAGAGGTATATATATATGTGTGTGTGTTTACCTGAGTTGATGTAAACGAAATTGGTGTTGTTTGAAGTTAGTCTCTGAAAGAAAGAATCTTACAATGGATTCAATCTGGAAAATGATGAGAATAGTTTGTTGGGTGTTAATTCTTGGTGAACATTTAAAAGGTGGCGAGAGTTCTCTACAGCAAAGGGTTACTGTTAAAATAGTGAACAAATTACATTCGAGTAAGATAGGTTATCCAGAATTGAGTGTTCACTGCAGAGACAAATTTCATAATTTGGGTCAAGTTACTCTAAAATACAACGAAATGTTTAGGTTTCGATTTCTTCCGAATGTCTTTGCTTCATTTACCTTGTACTATTGTCGGTTTATGTGGCCAGGTGGTAATAATTATATTTTTGACATTTATGTTCAAGAGAGGGATTATGAATGTAACCACTATGTATGTTACTGGGAAATAACTGAAGACGGACCATGTGGTGCTATTTATGCTGGATCTCATACTACTGCATGCTTTCGCTGGAAAGCTTTACCAGCAAAAAATTATACTTTATCTTCATAATCATTTATAACATTATGATGGACTTTAAATAATATTTACATCATATATGGAGTTTTATTACATTTATTGATTAATTTTAAACTGATTAAATGTTATAAGATCTCTTTCCCTTGTATAATCTGTGTTAACATGGTAATCAAAGCTGTTTAATTCCGACCGTGGCTTCTAATCACTCTTAAACTCAACGACAACAAATTTTTGATATGGCAATAACAGGTGAATGCTGCTACTTGGAAAATCAAGATTATCCCATCAAAACGCTATTAACAATGTAGTCAATCTGGATTATCAACATTACGAGCAACAAGATCAACTTTTGTTGTGTGGCTACTTTCTTCGATGTGTCTTCTTCATTCTAAAAACACAATTGATAAAAAAAAAAAAACTTTTAAGATATGTTATTTAAAGTTTTTGAAATTTGTTAAAAATATGATATAATAATAGAAAATGTCAAATTGAAGTCTATTATATTTGAGATTAGACGTGACAAATAACATATGTTAATTTGTGGGTTTGTTTGTTTTTCTTTAGTTTTTATTCATATTCTTTTCTATTGAAATCATGAATAATATATGATACAAGAATACATCACAAAAATTTTCAAAATTATATAAAAATTATAAAAGTAGCATGAGTATTTAAAATAAAAGTATAAAGTATAGAAAAATGATTGAAACATATTAATGAAATAAAAAACATTCCTTAAACTATGGATTTTTAAAAATTACAAAAAAATTAAACAATTGTTAGCACATTTGTCACTACATTCTAATAATTTTCGTTTTTGAAGCATCTTCGTTCCAAGTCCATAAGACAATTTGAAGTATACAAAACTTAAGGTTAAACTAAAAACACAAAAAGTATAACTTTTGTGACACACAACAATAGCTAGTGAATGAAAACATCAATCTCATGAGAAATGTAATAGAGGAGAACGAAAGCTTCGATCCAAACGAGCACTACAATGGAAATATAAAATGAAAAAGATTGAAGAATTTTCTCCTACGAGTTTAGTGTCATCGTTGCACTTTGGTGAGAGGTTTCGCACAAATGTGAAAGAGAAAACCCTAGCTACCATGGCCTTCTCTTTTATCGCACCACCACCGCAAGGCATAAGAGTTCACCACCGTGAACCCCGGTCACGCCACTGTGAAAATCAATCCATGGTCAAACCATCTTTGTAGCACCAGCCTCCATCACCACAGCGCCACCATGAAACCCTCGCGCCTAGGCATGACAAAAAAATCGGCAGACACGAGTATTCGCGGGTAAAATTCGCGGCGGGTAATTACTATCTGCAGATATTTACTACCCGCGGGTAAAGGGTAGCGAATATTTTAATACCCGTTTCTAAATGAATTGAGTACGGGTAGTATACTACCCAACCCGAGAGTACCCGTTACTCGAAAAAAATAAAATAAAAATTAATTTATATATTTTTTAATTAAATTTAATTAAAAATAAAATAAAATTATATTTTATAGGTTAAATTTAATTAAAATTAAATTTTAATTTATACTATATTATATATACTTTTTTCTGTAATTTTATTTAAATTTTATTTTAAAAATGTATAATTTTTTTTGCAGGTATCCGCGAGTATTTTCTAAATATAGTTTTATCCGACGGGTCAGGTTGCGGGTAGGCACTATCCGTTTCCGACCTGACCCGTTGCCATCCCTACTCGCGCCTTCGTCCACCATGTTAATCGCGGCACTTGCAAACAGAAGCAACACAACCCAAGAACATAATTCAGTTTCCTTCATGGACCACTGCGAGCTTAAAGCAACCATTGCGACACTTATCTCTAACAATCATTCTCTTCTTTGTTGCAATCATAGAACCTATGAATCGCGAAACTCAAGCCGAGATCTCTCTACGCCTCCTCCATGTAAGCCTCCGCAAACAATGCCTCTCGCGCCTTTATCTTTCTCGCGCCTCCATGGAATCCTACGAGAACTAGAAACCCAATGGCAGAGGACCTCTGTTGGCCACGAGCTTCATCGCGCCACCTATAGTACCACGACACCATCATGATCTACTTTACACCATCTTCTCAACCTGCTAAAACCATGAAACAACAACTCAACATCTTCGCACCAGAATCTCGCAAGCCACCATGCCTGCAACATCGCAAGTACACAATAAAACCCTAATTTTGGGTGAAAGATGAAACTGCCATGTGACAGTCTCTCATTAGGCAATTGTCACGTATGTTAAAAGACTTATACCTCATTTGATAATGGCTGGCCTGGACATTGTAACGTTAACGATTTAAACATTGTCAAGAAAAAAAGATCAAATTGAACAAAAATTACTAAAATTGAGACCACTTTGAATGTAAAAAAATCGATAACTATTTTGAATAAAACTTAGAAAAGTAGGAACAAAAATATATATTAAGCCTTAATATTGATATCTTCTATAACAAGATAATATAAATTACATCATGAATGTCATTTATAATGAGTATAAGTTGTTATATGTCGAAGCCAAGTATAACTTAAGAGTTACCTACCACAAAGTAAGTACTTCCTATCGAAGATTAAAAGCTGCTTGTCAAAAGGTTAAAAATTATCTGTCTAGAATCAAGAACTACCTGTCAATGGTTATGTGCCACATGTCGAAAGCTGAATGCTCCATGTCAAAGATTAAACTCTGTCTATGTGTCACCCGTCATAACTGATGTCATTGACTTACATCTAAACTTCAGCTTATAAAGAAATCACTCAACCAATACATATGATTATTTGTGTGGAATTTTTTAAATGGAAGTTTCCGTTATCATATGTTCCATAAGTTTTAATCTTGAAAGTTTCTTACATGCTTAAACATACAAAAACGATTTATTGAAATTCCACAAGTAATTTTTTTTTCAAACATATAATATTCACTCATCAATTTCAAGATTAGATATACACATGCCTATTAAATATAGACATACAAAAGATTACACATACATACTTACACTAAAATCCATTATGATAATTCTTGCTCTTTCATATAATCTTTTTATTTACATGTTTTTATAAGTTCATCTAAATTTTACTTTTTATAAAACATACAAAAGGGATAAAAAAAATATTACAAATGTTCAAAAATAATTAACCAATATTAATTATAGTAATACTTAATAAGTAGTTCAAAACTTACATTTTTATTAATTTTAATTCACTGATTAATGATATAAGTCTTCAAAAATAATGGAGAGGATTCTTATTCTCATATATTACCGTTGACTTTTAATTTTCATCTAACCATACATTTGATACAATTACTTCAGAGAAAAAAAAGTCATAATATTTATATCAGTTCTGTAATGTTGTCCATACATAAACTTTATCCCATTCCTAGGAAATTTATTGCCCGGTGAATTTAATTTAAAGCAGACAAGTAAATGAAAATGAAAGCAAAGGACAGAAATGTTGAATGAATAAAATTTATTAAAAAGGGTAAAAAAAGCTTCTTTGGTATACCCATTCAATGCATAGCTTAGTTGAATTTCTTTATTGTCCACAAGTCCGAGAAAAGGTGAAATATATAAAGGAAAGGATGCGAGACTCAGAATAGGATTCACATTCAGGAAGGAGAGAAGAAACCCAACATAAAAAATCAGGTCTTTCTCCGATTCTGTGTCTTTTTCAGCTTTCATTTTCACTTATTTTAATTTTTAGGTACCACAATTCTTTTCGTACTTGCGTTGAATTCAAATATCCTCGTATTCCATTTCAGAAAACACTGTACTTTGGTTGAGATGAATGTGAAAATGCACGTGTTGATATCATTTGCCTCTTTGCTTTTTAGCATTTATCCAGTTGATTATGGTGAAAGCTTTGTCATTGTTCAAAGGGGTTTCTAGAATGTTCCGTGGATTTGTCTAACCAATGTAATGCTGTAAATTCTGTGGATATTGAAGGGTTGGATTTGGTGTATTTTTGGTTTTCTATGAAGATTCATTTTTTCGTTTTCTGTAATATCGCGGTCATGGTTTTTTTTTTTCCTTCTGTTGGGAACCCTTATGCTTAATTTCGTGTGAAATTTCAGTAATTATCAATTTTATGGCTCTTGCACTCAAGTCGAGTTGCTTCTTGCAATTGAAGAAACCTGAGGTCGGTTTCCATGTTTGTTTTTCCTCTAAGAAGGCTTTAGTCTCTGTGAAGAGATACACTCCAGTGGCTGCTATGAGGACCATGGAAGTTCCGGGACTCTCTGAAACGTTCACCAGACTGAAAAAAGAAGGAAAAGTTAGTAGTTATTTTTCCAGTTTTATGGGTTCCATGCTGGTCATGTTTACTATAGTATCACATTTCAACTTGATTCCATTTTTTATGCCTTTTCAAATCAATGATTTTTATCTGCCTGATTATAAAGATGGAATGGTGTTGGTATTTGTGATTATAGTTGTATGTTGTTGGTTACTTTTAGTACCGTAACAAGTTTACTACTGCAAAGAGATATGAGTCTGAGAGCTATTCTTGACTGCCAAATGAATATTTTCTAATAAGTATGTTTGTGTCAAGGTGGCTTTTATACCGTATATTACAGCCGGTGATCCTGACCTTTCAACCACAGCTGAAGCACTGAAAGTGCTTGATTCATGCGGGTCTGACATAATTGAGCTAGGTGTTCCATATTCTGATCCCTTGGCAGATGGTCCTGTTATCCAGGTTTGACGTTTTCCATTTTTTGTTGTTCTTGTGATACTTATACTACCTGACTCTCAAACTGAAGCATCTTTCTCTTCAGGCTGCTGCTACAAGATCTCTTGCAAAGGGGACCAATTTCAATGCAATCATTTCTATGTTGAAGGAGGTAATTGTGCAATTCCTTGCCGTTAATTAGTTATCATGTCAACAGCTAATGATTTAGCAATTAATTTCATTGCTTCAATTGACTAGTTAGCAGTACAAACAATCAATGTTGGTAGATTGTTATGAAATTTGAACGAGTGAGGCCTATCCATCCTATATCCCTTTTCTTACTTGAAACCAGAACAGAAGAATAAACTTTAACGACTTGTACTGATTCAATTCACTTAAGCAATACTTTATTGTACCTTGATATATAGATACTGGATGTAACGGGAAATAGGAAATAATATCCCTAAATCTAGGATATATGATACAGATATCTAATTTCCTATGATACACTAAACTTCCCAAAATTTGAACCTTTGGAGAGACCTTGTTAAAACAATTATTCCTCTTTATAAGGATTCAGAAACCATTTCTTAGCTCCCTGAACTGATGGTTCTTTGCCATGATCGATTTGGCAGGTTGTTCCGGAATTGTCATGTCCAATTGCACTGTTTACATATTACAATCCAATACTGAAGCGTGGTACTGAGAAATTTATGTCTATTCTAAGAGAAACTGGCGTACATGGTACGAGTCAACACAAGTAATGATTTGCCAAAGTTTTACATTATGCGATGCTTCACTAGGGTCTAATTTTCGTATTAGTTCTATGATAATTCAATATTGTAAAATGCATAGACAAAATGAGGGAGCAGTTCCAATTACATACACCATGTCCTATTTAAAGTCTTTGGTTTCGTTAATTTACATATTTATCATTAAGAAAATGTCTCTTCACTCTCCTGTCCTGCCTACTCCTGGTTATAGCTTTTATGTCAGCTTCTTCGTTCAAATTGAAAATTTTGAAAAAATATCATGTTTGCATTTTGTCTCTTTTTCCTGTGGTATGGTAATGAGAATGATATTCTTTTCTTTGCCGTACGTATGCTATGCAGGGCTTGTGGTCCCGGATGTCCCTCTGGAGGAGACGGAGACTTTAAGAGTGGAGGCTAAGAAAAATGGAATTGAACTGGTTGGTTACTGTTAAATGATCTCTTGCATTTATTTTGGATTTCAGATTAATATTCTTATACCATTGATCCCAATGATTGAAAACTAGTGGTGAATCTTTTTTGTACTATAAATATGAAATCCAGTTGTTAGTCACACCAAAGGAGACATGGTGGTTATTGTGGAGATATGAACTTTTGTATTGATTAACGGCATTCCATTCTATTGTGTTATATATTTCGCAATGTTATATATATATATATATATATATATATATATATATATATATATATATATATATATTTATATATATATATATATATATATATTATA